AAAATATAAATTTTTATCCTTGTTTAAAAAAATCAGAATTTTATAAAAAAAACGTGATTAAAAAAAGGAATTGTGCAAATATTTTTCATCATTTTCTAAACTAAAAAAAATTTATTTTATTCAAATAACCGATTACTTTATTATTATAAATTAAATCTTATTTGAATCATACACACAGGAAAAAAAAGTCTGACTCCGTTTACACCTTAAATTCAGCCCATGTATTTCACATAAGTCTGTCCTTGTTTAACGGGGCTGACTCCGTTTACATCTTAAATTCAGCCTCAAAAAGAGGCTGAAAGTAAAACTTTTTTTTTAGTGTGCACTCTAAATCTGAAGCAGTGAAAATTCCACTGATTCAGATTTACTGTGTATTATTTTTATTGGAGTCAATTAAATGGTATTTGAAACAATAATTTCAATACTTGAAAGAAATACCAATTAATTAATTGAAATAAAAAATATTTGATTAAAATAAATATTTAATTGATAAATAAGAGTAAAATAATCGACGGTTTTTGAATCAAATAGATTTTTTTCAGTTTAAAACAAACTGATAATTTTATGACCAAAATTTTGATTGATAAACCGAAAACATGCAAAATTGGTATATTTTTTATTTCTTATACCCAGAGAAAAGATATATTTGACTGAAAACCAAATAGACTTTTTATCTGTTTCAAATAAATTTTATTTGGTTTAAATAAAATCTTATTTGGCTCAAATATATGTTTTGTTTATGTCAAATAAAATTTTTATTTAAAACAAATAAAAAGTCTAGTTGGTTCTGAGACAAATATACGTTAATATTAATTAAATCAAATAAAATATATTTGGTTTAAATGAAATTTTTCACTGGGTGATAATCGTTATATTTTGACAATATTCTAATTTCGTACAAAAATAAAGATAAAAATCTGCATAATTTTTATTTGTCAATTACAATTTTTGTTACAAAGTTTCAATCTTTTTTAAAGGAAAAAAAATTGCAATATTTTTTATACTTTATAATAATATAATTTTATAATTTTAAATTCCAAGAATTTGATTTTTTTTAGCAAAAAAGGAAGGTCATTAATTACTACTACAGTGTCAGGGAAACATCATTTCCCAAATGACAATCCGCGCTCAAACAAGGAGATGAGAAGTCCGGGGGCCCCAGAATATTTTTTCCTGTCTGCGCCCAATACAATTTTTCATGCACCGTGCACTAGTGCGAATGAATTATTTTTTACACACAAATTAATGTAGTAAAAACCTTGTGATATTCTTCCAAAGAGAACCCTATGGGGTTTTTTGAAAGACCCAATTTCCATTTAAACCAGCGACGCTAGCTTCCGCGTAATTAAACGTTCAGCGCGTTCCCGCTATAAGATTAAATGTAATTCCCAAATTGTAAGCCCAGGTAAACAGACAGGAAAATCATCATACCCTCCGGTCCTCTCGCTCCTTGTAGCGAGACTGTCACCAAGATCCCCTTCCAAAATACATTAGAAGAAAGACCTTCCTGAGTAGTATCGGACCTTCCTATTTCATATCGCGAGTCAATGTTCTTATATAGTCTAACTAACGAGATTAATTGCTCTTGTGAGAAACCCCATTTTTTAAATTAATTCCTGTCAAATTTAGAATTCGAGAAATACACTCTATTCTTGCGAAAATAATTGATCCTGACTATTAAGAATGTGAAAAATAATCTCTCGTCATTCGAGAAACAATCGTTTCAGTATAAAACGATCAGTAAAATAGCTGAGTAAATGTACTACTTTTTCTTGAGTATACTCTGGGAGAAAATTTAGGAACTAACGATTCACTTTGATTTGCTGCATGGTAATTTTACCATCTGGAGTTACCATAAGAAACTCTGAATTCGGTCGGTAAATCCAAGTACTGTCGATAAGCCCGTATTCGCTTGTTCTCGTTTCCTACCTTATCTTTCAGTTATCAATTATTACTGAAGGATAAGGTGGGGAACAACAAAGCTATAAATGGTAAAATCTTAATATTATTTTTTTTAAAAATTGTTATTCAACGAAATACATACAGCATTCAACGATTTTTTATAAACATTTTTTTAATACCTACAATAACTTTTATTAATTTTTATTCTATTTATACGTTTTATTACATTTTATTTTTCTTTAATATCATTTTAGATTTTTATTATATCTTTATTCAGTTTTATTTTAGTTTTTTATTTTATTCTTATTTAGTTTAATTTTAGTTTTTTATTTTATTTTTATTCAGTTTTATTGTAGTTTTTTATTTTATTCTCATTTAACTTTACTTTAGTTTTCTACTTTATTTTTATTCAGTCTTATTTTATTTTAATTAGTCCAACAAAATTTTAATACAATTTTTATTTTATTTAACAAATAAAATTATTCACTGTTTACAAGTAACTTTCTAAAAAATATTTTTTCAATGACAAAAAAATTGATTTAAATAAACGATTATAATTGGTTATTATCAAATAAATAAATATTTTTTGATTAATTTGTATCAAATAATAATTATTATTTAATTTTTATTTAAGTCAATTTAATTGAATTTCCTTCACATACTGAAATAATTGGTTCAAATTTAATGTATTTGGTTTCAATAAAAACTAATATTTGATTCAAGTAATTATTTTTATTTAATATAATAGACAAGTAGTCGGTTATTTAAATCAAATCTTTTTATTAAATTCTACAATGAAGTGTTTTTCCCATCAGTGTAAAAAATATACTTCACATTTTAAAAATAAAAGAATTTTACATATGAAACTGAAAATTTTATACCGATTGTTATAGAAAAATTACCACACTGAAAAGAAATTTTTGTTTGATTTAAATAACCGATTATTTATTATTATTATTTTATTATATAAAATTATTTATTATTATTTGTACTCATAAAATATAATATAATTTTACAAAAATGATAAGCAAAGTGAACAAAAAATTTCCAATTCACTTACTTTCACAATATTGAGTGTGTAACTTTTCCTTAAATATTCATTTGAAAACCACAAAAATATTTCTTGCATTACGTTACTTTCAATTACAATAAATTCAATAAAATGCATAGTAACATTTTTTTCTGCAATATTTACTCAACTTGATTTACATTAAAAATTAAAGTTCAATAATTGAAATTAACTAACAATTCAATTAAAGTTAAATAATTGAACATAACTTGAAATTTGATTTAAATTTAATTCAAATTAAATTAAATTATAATAAATTAAGTCAACTTTAAAAAAGAATTTATATACATTAGGTTAAAAATGCGTAAATATACAAAAACAAAAGATGTCAGAATTTTTCTTTCAATTTTAATAAAATTTTTAATAAAATTTTTGTCAAAATTTCAAGTATTTTCAAAAATTTTCCTCAATTTCATATAAATTCTATTATTTACAAATTTTTTTTATAAATTTTTTTGCAATAATTATTTAATTATTTTCAATAAATAATAACATTTTTTACAGGGATTGAATCATTTTCATAAATAATAAAATTCATTTCAGGAAATCAATTATTTTCATAAATAATATTTTTTATTGGATTTCAATTATTTTTTATACAATTTTAATCCAAATCCTCAAAAAATGTAATTGTTCTTAACAATTTTATTAGAAATCGTCAAAAGAAATCAATTATTTAAAAATGTTTTATAAAACTCTTTCTGAGAATTGAATTTTAAAAAATATTTATTTATTCAATAAATTATTTATTTTTGCATTTAAATAATTAAATTTTCGTAGAATTTTCTAATAAAAACTGATTTTAAAAATGAATTTCAGTTGAAATTTTAGATTTGAATATTAAAAGCATTATAGCATAAATTTTAAGAAATAATTGAATTTTGAGAAGGTTTCAAATTAAATTTTTTGAAAATCCTAATTTTTCATATAATTATAACCAACAATTCTGTAGAATTAATTATTTTGAAAAAGTTTAATTTAATTTTTTTTAAATTATTTAAAGTGTTTATTTTTTAATTAAATATTAAATTATTAAATTGAAGAATTTCTGAAAATAATTTTTTCGTTAAATTGAATTGTAAACAAATGGATTTGAAAATTTTAAAAAAATTCTTTCAAAAATTATTAAAGATAATTGATTTAATGAAGAATTTTATTTAATAATTCTAGAAAATAATAATTAAATTAAAAATGATGAAAATAATTTTGAAAAAATTACAGTAAAAATATTCCTATATATAAAATAATGATTTTATCCCTCGATTATCTTTAATTTATTATAAAAAATGAAGATAGGTTTCTTCATTTTTTATAATAAATATTTATTTTTTACTTATTCAATTTTTAATTTTTTAAAAATTTTTTATATTTTTATAAATATAAATATAATTTGTTAAATTTCAAAAAAGTTTGTTACAAAATTCTAATTTTTTAGAAACAAAGAAATTTAATAAAAACAAAAAAGAAAAGAAAAATTCAATAAAAATATTTTTGAATTATTTGAAAAATAAAAATAGTATTAAATAATTTAAAAATAGTAAAAAAAATAAAGGAGTAGATTTATATTATAGCATTATAATATTATACATTATATTTATATAATAAATAATAATTTAATTTATATTCCAAAAAAATTCTTTCTATTCGAAAACTTTAATTCCTGTAATTATTAATAAAAAATTAAAAAAAAAAGTTAAATAAATAAAATGCAAAAAGGGATGGTCGATTGTCACTACTACAGTGAAGGGAACGAATTCCCAAGTGACAACCGCTAACTGTGAGGTCTCAGAAGTATCAGACGTCTGAAATGCAGTGGCCAATCTTTCTAATTCTATGGCTAAGGTTGGATTTTTTGCGTTCGTCTTCGTGGGGGGAGCGGCACACGAATCCCGACAGAACGGCTTTGCTTGAGTACTTGGGTGCGGACAGGCTACACAACCCTTCTAGACTCGTCGATATCTGATGTGGCGTATAAACCAACATCTTTGAATTCCTCAGTTACCAACTATACCACCACCAGAAGAAGATCATGGACGTCACTGCACTCATCGGTCCTCCTCTTCGTCCTCCTCGCAGATTGCGGCTGTCACATCCCTGGCACATTATCGATGCGTCAGAGTTCCTGAGTAGTTGCGGACCATCCCTGCCTCCATCTCACTCTTATTTCCCTTATATACTAAACGTCTGTCCTGTATCACCATTTGTGAGAAAACCCCCAATTTGCCAATTTTTTTTCCCCCGAAAATATTTACAATAACTTTTCAATTTTTCGTGCAATAATTGTTCCTCTAAAGGGGGATAATAAAAATAATTGTTTCAAGGTGAATGGAAAGTATTATTTTGTTATATAATGATCAATAGTTTTGCAAGGAATAACGTGTAAGGATGGAAGGTTAGCCCTCTTCCGATAAACGGTCGAACTGCTTGAGCAAAAAGAAACTATCGATCGCAAGTCTTGAGAAAAAAAAAATTATTTTCTCCCGAAATTAAAAAATACAATTTTATAAATAATTGTTTTGTTGTTTGTGAATCACAAATATGCTAAATTTATCAATTGTTTAAATAACTATTCAGTTTGAAAGGAAAAAAAGAAGAACCTACGGCGAGCTACTTTACCATCCGTGAATATTTTCCTCCTCACAAGGTAATTCTTTTTAAAACTAAAAAACAATTAACAACTTGTAACAATATTTTTTTTTTTAATTTATTAATTAATTTATTTATTATTTTATTAATTTTTTTTCTCGAAATGGTGAAAAATTCTAAACCAGTTGAAATCAGTACAAAAACAAGGCGGAATTTACAGTCGGTTAGGCAGAAATGTATTGCTAAGAAAACCCGGAGATAAACACCAACCGTTAACAATAACTCTTCATCTCTTCCTTATCATTAAAATATTTATTTAAATAAAAATAATTATTTTAAATATAATTATTATAAAATAATTATTCTAAAATTATAATCAACTGCATAGAAAAAGCAAATAACCTTTTCTTTTTATCGTCTATTGTTTACGAAAACGATACCTTCGAAAATCGAATGCTTATCGAAATTAACTTTGGCTAACTTCCAGTTAATGATTTTTGACAACTTTTTATTTACATTAAATTTCCTTTATTAAAAAAATTCAGAAAATATGTAAATTACTTCTATTTTACTAAAACACTTTTTTCAGTTTACATATCGATATTCTACAAGTTATTTTTGTTATTGTTTTAAATTCAAAAAAACATTTTAAAAAAACCCGTTACTTGTAAATATAACCAATAAATTATATGAATTTTATAAAAAAAATGCTCATATAATAAATTATCATTCAATTTTCTGTTATACTCGATTTTCTGAAGTTAAATAATGAATACCCAAGATTGTCTCAAAATTGGTGCGTGAATATATTTTTATAATTATATAATTATAAGAATTATAAGTCAACACTATTAATTCAACGATGGAGTGATAAAATTATTGTTTATATTTTTAATTATATTTATCAAAAATTGTGAACGTTCAAGTGAAAGACAATATTTTCATTACGCCCTTTAATTTGTATTTTATCAAAAAAATTATTTTCTTTCTACTAAAAGAATTAATTTTCAGCCAAATGAAATGTTTAATTTATATTATTCTCCATTACAGTTTAGTAATTTTTGAAATTAATTACACTGAGAAAAAACGTTCCTAAAGTTTTGAACGTTTCAATAAAAGAAATATATTTTCTATTTAAATAATTTCAAAAGTTACCAGAATTGAATTAAAAATAAAATTAATTCAATCAAATAATTTATGATAGAAAGGAATTAATAACCAAAAAAAATATTTTCTAACAAATTTCAAATTTTAACGAAATATAAAAAAATGGTTCAAGTAATTTCGTTAAAATTTGAACGTTCAAAACTTTAAGAAAATGTAACTTGGGTTAAAAGATAAATTCAAATATTGTGAAACATTTACAAAAAAAAAAATTAAAATTTAATATTTTTACAGATGAGAATATTAAACATGAGCCTCATTTGTATACGAAGAAAAATGGTATTGCAATCAGAAAACTTGTCGTTAGTAATTTACCCCCTGAGGTCAGTAAAAAATTATATCCTCTAAAAAAATTTAAACTGTTTTTAATTTACCCTCAATATTTATCTACTTCTAAAATCTTTTTTACTCTTAATATTTTTTCAAAAATGAATTAATCTGTAAAACGTATTTTTTAATGAAATTTAATTTTCAATAATTAAAAAGAATTTTGACTCTTCATTAAGTTACTTAATTAATTACTCTTAATATTTTTTTTGCCAATATAAATTAGACTGTAATACGTAATTTTTAATGAAATGTAATTTTCAGTAATTAAAATATTAAAAAGAATTTGTACTAGTCAAATAGCACCTTATTTACCTATTAAATAATAAATTAATAACTTAAGTATGGAAACAATTTAAATAAGTTTAGAATTTATTTATTTAATATTAATTATTAATTATTCTTTTCTAATTATTAATTATTATTTTTTAATTGTTAATTAACGTTATTTATTTATTTGATAAATTTTCAATTTTGCAACTAGCCTAATTACTAAGGGGAAACTTTACAAATTATAAAAGTTAATAATTATAAAAGTAATAATAACAAAATTAATAAGTAAAAAAAAATCATTTAACAATACCTTTGTTGGTAAACTTAATTAATTACTAAAAGCAAAATTCACATAAATTACAAAAGTCAATTGTTACTAATAATTAGAAATTGAAAAATAAAATAAAAATTCAACATTATTTTTGTCAGAAAACTCAATTAATTTCTAAAATCCAAACTTTCAGACACACGAAAAAGATATTAAATTTCTTTTCTCGAAATATGGACAAATTGACAAGTGTTTATTGAGACAAGACTGCAAATCAAATTGTATTCGTTGCTTCATCACATTCAAGAATGCTGAAGATGCTTTACAGTAAAATAAAAGAAATTCTCTAACCTATATTCTTCTCTTAAAGTTCTTTTTCATTAATTCATTTTATTTTTTATTTTAAATTTCTATTTTTAATAAAATATTTTTTCCTTTTTTAAGAGCAAGAAAAGCGGGGTATGAAAACTTTATTCAACTGAATAATCGAACACTAACCGTTGAACCGGTATATTCATGGTTTCAGCCTGAAAAAAGGAGAATAAATTTAAAAAGAAAACGAGAAAGTACACCAGAACCAGAGGAACCACCAATCAAAAAATTAAACGAAGATTGTCTCATCAGAATTTTCGAATATCTTCCAATTACAGATAGACTCAGAATTGAAAGGGGTAACACTTTATTAATTATTGTTAAAAATATAATAATAATAATTATTAAATTTAGTAACCAGTGAACTAATTAATACATTAATTAATTACCAGAAATAAATTAGTTATTTAATCAATAAATTAATAAATATATTAACCAACGAATTAATATTAGTTCGTTGAAGAATAGAATATTAGTAAAATTATCATTAAATTAATGAGCGAAATAATTCATAAATTAACCAGAAAATTAATTAATTAACCAATAAATGAGTGAATAAATTAACCAGTTAATTAAAGTTAATTATTAAACTAATTAATTGACGAAATAATAACTAAATTAACAAATGAATGAATTAATATATTAATTAGTAAGATTGTTAATAAATTTACCAGCAGAATAATTAATTAAGTAGCCAAAGAAATAATTAATAAATTAACCAGCAGAATAATTAATTAAATAGCCAAAGAAATAATTAATAAATTAATCAATAAATTAATTAAGTAATTTAGAGATTAAAATGAAATGTGTTTAGAAAAAAATATTTCTAATTAAACAATTAGTCAATAAAATAAATTAAAAATTTCAATTCAGTTTCAAGGCAATTTCGCGCAGCAAGTTTCAAATCATGGAGCAGAATTAAGTACCTAAAAAATTCCTCTTTCAAAACAACTGACACAACAAGAAGTATAATGGCATTTAATAAAATTCTACAAAGATGCGGACGTTACGTGACTCGCGTGAGATTAAATTCCAGCAATGGTGAATATAATGAGGAATCACTTCGAATTTTACCGATTTATTGTCAAAAATTAAATTCCCTGTATGCAAGTTCACTATCATCGTCGACAGCATTGAAAATTTTAGCCCTTCGCTGTCAGAATATTACAAAAATTGAACTATCATTGGAAAATTGTTTTGAAGATTCAGATGATGATTTTGCCTTCTTATTTTCTTTGAATAGAAAATTGAAATATGTTGATATTTGTTATGGCTACATAAATGGCACTTGTCTACTACAATTACCACCTGAATCGATACAGTCAATCGTTTTGGACAAATGTCTAGCGTCTGCCGATCATTTAATAGAAGTAAGCAACAGTATTTATTATTAATGTTTATTTGGACAATTGAAAAAAAAATTATTTAATTTAAATAATGAATTACTTGACTATAATTAAATAATTAAATAAATATTTATTAATAGCAAACAAATATTTATTTGTAGGAAAATATAATTTATTTTCAGCAAATAAATATTTATTTCAATCAAATAATTTTATTAACATTTTTTTTTATTTACTAACAATAGTATTTAATCTAAATATTTTTATATAAATATTTTATTTATTTATTCAAGTAAAATTATTTTCAAAAATTACTGACTGCAATGAAAAGCAAAACCGAAATTAAATTTAGTAACTTAAATTTTTTTTGTAACATGACAGAATATTATTCTAATAAAATAAATAAATAAATAAAAATTATTAGCCTGATGTAAATATTCATTTAAAAAAGTCAAGTAATCGATTATCTGATTTAAAAAATTTTTCTCAAGTGTATTAATACAGACAATTACATTCAAATTACTCGGATAGAATTAAAAGGAGTTTAATTTAGAAAAACCTAATTACTTCCTTGCAATATACATGATTACTAAATAATTACTTGTAACGAAATATCAGTAAAAACGATAATTAGCTAATTACTTAATAATCACCTAAATAATTATCAAAAGTATTCACCACTAAATTGTGTTTTAATTTTTAAAAATACGTACAAATATTGTAGAAAAAAAAGTATTTTTAAATATTTTATTTTTACAAATATTATAGAAAAACCTTAACAACATAGAAAATTTACATTGTTCATATTTTTAAATTTACACTGAAAAAATATAATTTGATTCAAATAACCGATTACTTTTCTATTATCAAATAAATATTTACTTGAATCAAATAATTTTTATTCAAATTAATTAAATAGCACCTATTTGCTTCAAATATTGAAGTTATTGGTTCAAATACAATTTTTTTGGTTTAAATAAAAATTATTTGTTTCTAGTAAATATTTATTTGTCTTAAATAAAAATATTATTTGATTGAAGTAAATATTTATTTGATCTAAAAAAGTTATTTGAATCAAATTTTTTTTCAATGTGAATGTAAAGAATAATTTTTTTTAAAATAATACTTGTAATACATTTTTTAAACTGTTCTTATCCTTTTATTTCTTCCTCAGGCAGTGAAGAATTATAAAAAATTATACGAACTCGATTTGACTGATTGCGACATTACCGGCCTTTTACCAGCTCTAAAAAATTGTGCCAATACTTTAAATACCCTTTTCTTCCAAGATTGTGTTTTGAGAAATAGAAATGAAGCCGATTGTATAAAATTTTTTGTCAATCTTCAACAATTATGGCTTGTCACAAATTTATGGGTTACTGATGATTTTTTGTACCACGTTGGACAAAATTGTCACAAAATTTCTTCCGTATGCATAATAGGTAAAAAAAATTAATTTTATACTAAAAAACTTTATAATAAAATAAAAATTAATATTATCTAATATTATCAATAATATTCATCAATATCATCAATAATAAAAAATTCCCACTTTTTAAAATTTAGTTCAAATTTATTTATTTCTATAGAAACTATAAAAGGAAATTTCAATAAAATTTTAAATGTTCAAATAAACAAAATTTTGTCTTCTATTTAAATATTTTTCTAATTTACTATAAACAAAAAAAGATATTTTTTACTCAGGGCCTTCTAAACTTTTTATTTGTTTCAAATAAATTTTATTTTATTCAAAAAGACTTTATTTGTTTCAAATAAATTTTATTTGGTTCAAAAAAAATTTTTTCTAGGTGCACTGAATTAAAAAATATTGGAAACTCAACAGTTAGTTAAGAATTAATTTTTTAATATACAAAATCATGTGTTTTAATAAATATGAACAAATAATAATTTTTAATAATACAAATTTAAAATTTGAACATTCGAAATTTTAGGAAAGTAAAAAAAAATAATTTTCTAAAAGTTAAAACTAATTTATTATAATTATAATATTAATAAAATATTAATTACTTACAATTACTATTAAGAGTTTTTTTTAATGAAATTAAATTCAATTCGACAGGTATGAACGAAATAATAACAGACTTTGGAATTGGCAATTTAGCACCACTGCCAAAATTAGAATGGTTAAATATCAAATTATCGATAACGGGCACAGGATTGGAGAAGATGTTGAATTTAAAATATTTAGAAATTAATAGCGACGGCTCATTAACGGAAGATGCATTGTGTAAGATTTTACAGAGAGCAGAGAAATTAGAAACACTGAAAATCAACGATGAAATGTACACGAGAAATGATTGTAAATTAATAAAAGTCGCTATTGAAGTCTGTGAAAAAAGGGAAAATAATTTACCACTACGTTTCATTTTCCAAACAATATCAGAGAGAGACAAAATTGAGCATTTAACCCGAATTTCTCCTAATCTCTTCTTTGAATTAATTATGTAAAAAACAAAATAAACAGTTCTTTTTTAAAATTCACCGAGAAATAATTTTTTGCACACAGCATATAAATGAAAATTTAATAAAATTTTTAGGAAATCCAAATAAAATTGAAAGACAATTGAAATAAAATTTCGAAGAAAGTGAAATAAAACTATAAAAAAAAAATGAAACAAAATTTCAAACAAAATTAAAAATAAAAACTGAAAAAAAATTTTAAACAAAAGAAACTAAAAATTTAGGAGCAATTCTCATTTAGTTGAAAAATATATTTTCTTTTTGTAAAATTTTCGTCCTCTGCAATTTGTTTTCTTATCTATTCACACATGAGATACGGTTAATGAAGGAATTAAAAACATGATAATAAATTGAATCAGCGATAAAGAAAAAAGGTAAACATTTCTCTCACAGTCAGCATTGTTCTGAAGACGCAGAAATACAACTGCATTTTACTGCATAATCTATAGATTTTCGAAGCAAATCCAGAGGGGTTTTTTTTTTAAATTACTTTCGAGAAAAAATGATCAATTTCGACGCTACGTGGCGCTACCAGTAGAAATACGAAAACTACTCAAAGCAGAATTTATAATTTCAGTATATAGCTTTCGTACAACGTGCAATACATGTGTTCGGTTTTTCGACTTTCAAGTTTTCCACAGTGCCATCAATTAAAGTTATTGAAAATATTGTAAGTAATCATTAAAATTGTTAAGGACAATCAAAAATATAGTAAAATTAATTGAATTTTTTGAATGAAATTAAATTTCACGAATTCTTTTTTGTTAAGAAAAAAATGTTTACAAGAAGAAGAAGAAGAAGAATGTTAAAAAAAATCTACTAAAAATAAATAAATAATACACTGAATAATTTGATCAAAGTGTAACGGATTCGTCCAATCACAATCAAATGAATTAAATTTATTATCTTGGTTACTTTTTACTTGACCTTTCTTTTCAAATTCTTGAAACTCTGTGTTTTCATAACATTGTGATTTAAAGCGAGAAATATTCAATTTGGAATTTAGCCATTAAATTATTACTTTCGTGGTTGGTTAATAATAATTAATTAGCATTGTTTAATTAATTATTATTAACAATTAATTAACTTTAACTAATTCACATTTAGAGAGATAATTTTCAAAAGAAACAATTTTCAACTGCTCGAAACAATAAATAAAACTAAAATGGAAAATAGAAAATAAATAAACTAGGATAGAAAATAGAAAATAAATAAAACTGAGATAGAAAACAGAAAATAAATAAACCTAAGATAAAAAAATAGAAAATAAATAAAACGAATTGCAAGAGAAAGAATAGAAAATAAATCAAACAAGTAAACAAAATTGTTATGTAATTTTTAACATTTTCAAAAATTAAATTTTGTGAAAAATATTAAATTTTACAACAACAAAAAATGCAATTTTATAAGAAAATGTAATTTTATAAAGAAAGTAATTTTCTAAAAAAAAGTCATTTTGTTTTAAAAAAATTAATTTTATAATAAAAAAATTAATTTTATGAAAAAATTGTAATAAACTTAAACTAATAAAAAAATTTTCCACAGATAGAAGAAGGAAAAGCAATAGAAAAATAAATATGGCACTATCGGTGGTTATGGCTGTTACAAATACTGATATTAAATCAATGAATATGATTAAAAATCGTTTGAAATTATCAGAGGCATTATGTATTAAAATTCCCCTTCAAGAATATCACGATACTACTACAACAAGTGAATGTGAATTTAATAAATTTCACTCTTCAACATTATCATGTCACGCGGACTCAAATTCAACTGAAAGCTCTACATCCGATACAATTAAATCGTCAAAACAAAACAAGGAATTATCAGAGGTCAGTATTTCAATAAGATTTTCACTTCCTCTCTATTCAATTTTTTGTGACAATAAAAAGAAATTTAGCTAAATTTTCTCTTTCTGATTAGTTGACTGACTTTTTCTCACGATTTTTAATTAGTAAACATTTTTTCTAATTAGTAAAATTTTCCACCATTTTAATTAGTGAAAATTTCTGTTTCTAATTAGTAAAAAATTGTACTAATAGTTTTAATTTGTAGAACTTTCTATTTCTGATTTTTAAAACTATCGAATTTGTAAAACTAATTAGTAAAAATCTAGATTCAATCTAAATTGGTTCAATTTTTTTTTTTTTGTAAATTTTGAATTAAAAATTTTTTTAAATAAAAATTTGGGCTAATTAGTTTAAATATAAAAACACTAAATTTAATTAGCAAATCTTTATATTTTCAAATTCTACATGAATTTGAATTAGTAAAAACTGAACCATATATAATAGTAAAAGTTTTCACTACTTTTTAGTAATTTTTTACTAAAACTTAAGTAAAAAAAAACATTGAAAATACTAAACAAAATAGTTAAATTTTACTAAAAATTAGTTAATTTTCTTACTAATGTGAATTAGTTACTCGATTTTCACAAATTGGGATTTAGAGAAATTAGTATTACTAATTAGTAAAACTTTCTATTTCTGAATCTGATCTCTAAATCATTCTATTTTGTTAATTAGAAAAACTTTCTACTATTTTTAATTAGTTTCAAAAATATCCTAATCTTTTATTACTTAAAACTTATTTAAATTTAAAAAATTAATTAAAATTTATTTTATTATCTAACCTTGCTACTATTTTTATTGACTAAAATTTGAATTAAAATGATAAATAGTCCACTAATTTCAATATTAGCAAACATTTTAACTAATTTTTCGTACAATTTTGCTGAGTTCAAATTCAGGAATTTAAAATTTTATTTGCTCAAATTGCTGAGAATTAGCGTAGAAATTTTTACAAATTAAAATTAGTGAACAACTTTACTCTAATTCAAATTTAGAAAGTGTTAAAAAAATATTTATTTTTCGAAGTAACTAAAATTACTAATTTATTTAGTGAGATTAATTTTAGTAAATTAAAAATTTCAGTATACTTTACTAACAGAATTTGTATTTTTTTACTATCAGTTAGTATTTTTTATTAACAATTGGCACATTTCTACTATACGAATTAGTATTTTTCTATTATCAATTAATATTTTCCTACTAACAATTAGTAATTTTTTAAGATTTAGTATTTTTCTACTACTAATTAGTTGTTTTTTACCATACTAATAGTATTTTTCTACTATCAATTAATATTTTTCTACAACCAATAAATACCAACTAAATCTGAATAAGCGAAATTTCACTAATTCCCAGCAAAAAGTATACCACTAATTTCAAAAAGCATTTATAAATTTTTTTGAGTGTATTTATTTTCTTATCAATAAATAATTTATTAAAAATTGAATTTCAGCAAACTTTAGCAATACGCGTCACTTACAGGAATCGTGATATCTTGAATTTAGGCGCTAATCTTAGGGAGCCATCCTGGCACAGATGGAATCCAAGACGACCTCAATACGATTCGGTAGACGATATACCAATAACATGTAACTCTGTATTCTACCGACTGGATATGAGAAATGATTATAAGGAAGACTTTCCCGTGGTGAGTGTCAACATAATTTCAAACAATTTTAAAATATAACAAAAATTAAAGAAAAAAATTGAATAATTGAATGTTTCTTGAAATTCAATTTCCACAAAGAATTTAATCAACAAATTTTTAAAGAATTAAATTCTTTCGGCCATTCTATAAATGCATTATTTTTATTAATTATTGAAAAAGTTCTTTGAGAATTTTCAAATTCATTTGTTTACCATTCAATTTTACCAAATTTTAATTATTCGTAAATTCTTCAATTAAATATATATTAGAAAATAAAAACTGAAAATAATTTTTAAAAAATTTAATTAAACTTTCTCAAAAAAATTAATTTTACAGAATTGTTAGTTAAAAATATGAAAAATCCAGATTTCAAAGATTTTGATTTGAAACCTTTTCAAAATTGAATTATTTCTAAAAATTCACGCTCTAATGCTTTTAATAATTAATTATAATCTAAAATTTTAACTCAAATCTATTTTTAAATCAATATTTTCAGAAAATTCTACAAGAATTCAATTATTATTTGTCTATTTATTTCTTTATTTTACAATCAATTAAATACAAAAATAAATAATTTATTGAATAATTGAATGTTTCTTAAAATTAAATTCTCATAATCAATTTTATCAATAAATTTTTAAATAATTGAATTCTTTTGACGGATTTTAATATACAATTTTTTAAGAGTAATTACATTTTTCAAGGAATTCGATTAAAATTGTATTAAAAATAATTGAAATTCCCCAATGAGTTTTATTCTTATTTATGAAAATAATTTAATTCTTAAAAAGAATTTTATTATTTACGAAAATAATTGAATCCCTGTAAAAATTTTATTATTTATAAAAATAATTGAATGATTGCGAAGAAAATAAAAAATTTGTAAATAAATGAATTTCTGTGAAATTTTTATTGTTTTATGTGAAAATTATTAAAGGTTTGCATAGAATTTTATTAAATTTCTTTTAAATAATTGAATTCTTTTGGAAAGTTTTATTAAAATATTAGATATTAAAAATCATTGAATTGAGAAAAATTTTTTTGAAAATAATTGAAATTTTACAAAGAATTTTATTAAAAATATTGGAAATAATTGAATTTCGGAGAAGAATTTTATTATTTCTAAAGATAATTGAAATTTTGACGAGAATTTTTTTAAATTCTTTAACACAATTGAATTTTTGCAAAGAATTTAATTACTTTAGAAAATAATTGTCTGACGTTTTGCTTAGGTGTTAGTAAAAAATAAATAATATTTGTTAGAAAGTAACTAATTATTAGTAGAAAATTACTAAATATTAGTAAAACAATAACTAAAAAAGTAATCAAATTTTACTAATTGAATTGTATTAAATTTAAATGAAATTTTCGGTCCCTGTGTTTAACTAAATTAAGTTTAGAGATGTTATTAAATAAATATTTACTTATTTGCAATAATTTTTATTTAAATCAATTAAATTATTTCAACAACTTTAAAAAAATATTTCAAGAACTAAATATTAAGAAAAAAAAAATTTATAGAACAGAATTTATTGGTTTGAATAGAATTGAATTGATGACAATAAAAATTATTTATTTTATAACAGTCAAGTAATAAATTTTAATTCAAATAAATTTTTCCAGAGTAATAAAGTTACATAATAATTATTTTTTAGAAAATGTCAAAAATATTAACTGTCAATTTTTGTTTCTAGAAATTTTGCAGGAACTGCGAGTTTCCTATTCCAATTCCGAACATCTACAGCTAAACGCACGTGGTACGAATGACTTCTTGACGATTGTATCGTCAATCCTGTAAAATACTGTGATAATGGACTGAAGCGGTAGCCGACTAAAACTAAATTTCTCATTGATGAGAAAGAGAGAAAGAAAAAAAATGAAGAAAAACAAGAAAAAAAATTCTAGTGCCTTAAAATAAAAATTTGTTAAGAAAATGACGAAAATTCCCACAGAGTCGGAAACGGGCCGCATTGATCATTCAAAAAAAAAAAACTTTTCTACGTAATTCTACGCACTAATTGTATATTTATAAAATTTCTAATTATTTGATAAAATCGGAAATGCCTTTCCGATGATAAAGATGACATTTAGAAATACTTATTACTAAATTCACAAAGTATATAATAATGTCTCATTATGTAATTAGTATTTTTATATTTCCTTTATTAATTAACATTTATAAAATTGAAACGACGCAAAAGAAATAAATCCCCTGCGACTACTGAAAAATGTCAGTTAATTTTTCTAATTAATATATCAGTTTCATAGTTACTGCCGTAAATTTATGAATTCATTAATTTTTTTTCCTCACAAGAAAGAATACAATAAGTGCAACAAATGTTTCTTTTCTTTCAAAAAAAAAAAAATTAATAAATTCATATTTTTCAGTTTTATAAAAATTTCTTAAATAAAAAAAAGATAACAATTTATAATGTCTTAAAAACAAAGAAAAACAAATTGCAAAATATTAAAAATAAAAATAAAGATAAACAATTTCTAACATTTCAAAAAATTCGTTTTAACTTTTTCAGTACTCGTGAAAGAATTATTTTTCTCCGTGAAGCAGGAAAAAAACATTGTTGTCTATATACAATAAACAAACAACTTGTTTGAAAATTTCCAATATTAATGATAAAGAAAATAATTTTGATATTGGCTCATGTAATGAAATTTTATAATGAAATTATCACTTTTTAATTCGACATCTTTTTTCCTTGCTAAACATATTATAGCGGACAATTTTATTTTTAAGCCGATGCAGTATTTCAAAAATACGAATAAACAAAAGCGAATCTAATTTCTGCAGTATGAATTTTGCAGAATTATCTCATGTGAACAATAGCGAATTTAGAAAATTATTTTGAATATAAAGTGTAAAATATATTTAGTATCACAGGCAAAAAATCATATATTGTACATTAAAATAAGAATCACGAAAGCTCTTATTGTAAGCAAATGTTTCTCATTTTTTTAAATTAATATTTTCTATTATAGTAAGAAATTTTATTTTAATGCAGGCATAATTTTTTGTGTGATATCACTAATATTGAAAAAGCGCTCTAAAAAAAGAATCTTCAAACGCATTGTCTAAATATTTAATGAAAAAAAAAAGAATACTCGACATCTTTGACTAATGTTTGTTTAAAAAATAAACTCATTCAAAACATCTGAATTATATAATGATTTTTACTAATTGACCCTTCTTTCTATTTCTAATTTTAATCTAATTCTAAGAAATTAAATTATAATAGAAAGTTTAATTTTAATTAAACAAAAATTAATATTAAAAATTTACGAAACTTGAAAAACTTGAAATTTATTTTATTTTAAATTAAAAAAACTTGAAAAACAACTCTGGTCTTGTAAATTTATTTTTACAATTTTTTGAGTCGAATATCAAATTTTGACTTTTTTCAGCAAATTGTAGCTTTTCTTAATTAAAAAAAAGATTTTTCCGAAACACGGAGGAACTCTGAACTTTTTTAGAATTTATTTCCGATTCGGAAAAAATTTGTATCTTGAAAAACGACGCTGGTCTTGTAAATTTATTTCCACAATTTTTGGAGGCAAATATCAAATTGAAGCTTTTTTTTATTAAAGAAGAGCTTTGTCCGAAAAACAAAGCTAGTCAGAACTTTTTTAGAATTTATTTCTAATTCATGAAAAATTTATATCTTGAAAAACGACGCTGGTGTTGACTATTTTTTTAAACAATTTTTGGAGTCGAATATCAAATTTTGACTTTTTTCATCAAATTGTAGCTTTTCTTAATTAAAAAAAAGATTTTTCCGAAACACGGGGGTAATAAGAACTGTTTTAGAATTTATTTACGATTCAGAAGAAATTTATATCTTAAAAAACGACGCGACGATGGTTTTGTAAATTTATTTTCACAATTTTTGGAGTCGAATATGAAATTTGGGCTTTTTTTCATCAATTTGGAGCATTGATTAATTAAAGAAGAGCTTTTTCGACGTGGATTAGTTATAATATTATTCTATTTATTATTAAATTATTATTTTCTGGAATTTTAAACTAATATTTTTCCTTGTATAAATTATTTTTAATAATTTTTGAAAAAGTTCTTTGAGAATTTGCAAATCTACTTGTTTACAATTAAATTTTACAAAATTTAGATTATTCGTAAATTCTTTAAATAATTTAGAAAAACATTCAATTCAACTTTTTAAAAACATTAATTCTACAGAATTGTTTGTTAAAAGTGTCAAAAATTAAGATTTTCAAAGATTTTAATTTGAAATATTTCAAAATTCAATTATTTCTAAAAATTCATGCTATAATGCTTTTAATATTCAATTAATATCTAAACTTTAAACCAAAATTCATTTTCAAATCAATTTTTATTAGAAAATTCTACGAGAAATTAATTATTTAAATATCTACAAAAATAAATAATTTATTGAAGAATTGAATGTTTTATAAAATTATTGAACTCTCATAAAGAATTTTGTCAACAAATTTTTAGGAATAATTACATTTTTCAAGGAATTGAAATAATTTATTTATGTAAAAAAATTTATTCTTTATGAAAATAATTAAATGTTTGCGTAGATTTTATCAAAATTTTTTTTTAAATAACTCAATTTTTTTGGAAAATTTTATTAAATCTAAAATTTTAACTGAAATTCATTTTTAAATTAATTTTTATAAGAAAATTCTACTGAATTAAATTATTTATAAATGCAAAAAAAATAATGTATTCAAGAATTGAATTTTTCTTAAAATTCATTTTTCATAAGGAATTTTATCAACAATTTTTTAAATAATTGAATTCTTTCGATGAATTTTAATCAAATTTTTAAGAAAAATTGCACTTTTCGAGAAATTTGATTTAAATTGTATTAAAAATAATTGAAATTCTGCGATGAGTTTTATTATTTGTAAAAATAATTGAATCTCTAAGAAGAATTTTATTATTTTTGAACAATATTCAATTTCAGCGAAGAATATTCTTATTATTCTTAAAAATAATTGAATTTCTGCAATAATTAGTAACTTTTCCAAAATTAAATTTTTTTTCGTGTTTTTAACTAAAATTCTTCTATAAAATGGGTTATTTTTATTAATTTTTGAAAAAGTTCTTTGAGAATTTTCAAATTTATTTGTTTACAATTCAATTTTACAAAATTTCAATTATTCGTAAATTCTTAAATATTAAATATGCCTATATATTAGAAAATAGAAACTTTAAATAATGTCAATAAAAAACATCCGCAATTAAACTTTCTCAAAAAATTCATTCCTCAGAATTGTTGGATAAAAATATGAAAAATTCAGATTTTCAAAAATTTTTATTTGACACCTTTTCAAAATTTAATTATTTCTAAAAATTTACGCTCTAATGCTTTTAATATTCAATTATAATCTAAAATTTTAATTGAAATCCATTTCTAAATCAATTTTTATGAGAAAATTCTACTAGAATTCAATTATTTAAATACAAAAAAACAATCTATTGAATAATTGCATATTTCTTAAAATTGAATTTTCTTAAAGAATTTTATTAATAAATTTTTAAATAATTGAATTCCTTTGACGAATTTTAATAACATTTTTAAGAATAATTACATTTTTCGAGGAATTCGATTAAAATTGTATTAAAAATAATTGAAATTCTGCAATGAGATTTATTATTTAGGAAAATAATTGAATTTCTAAAAAGAATTTTATTATTTACGAAAATAATTGAATGATTGCGTAGAGATTAAAAAAAATGTATAAATATAAGGGGTCGTCCATTTATCACGTGGACACTTTTGGGGGGAGGGAGGGGGTAAAAAAAGTTTGAAAATGTCCACGATCCCATGTATTTTTGTGTCCACAAGAGGGGGGGGGGGTCAAAAATCTTTGAAAAACTGTCCACGTGGTATATGGACGACCCCTAATTGAATTCCTGTGAAATTTTTTATTATTTTATGAAAATAATTAAAGGTTTGCGTAGAATTTCATTAAATAATTGAATTCTTTTGGACAATTTTATTAAATTATTAGTAAATTTTAAAAATCATTGATTGAGGAAAATGTTTGAAAATAATTAAAATTCTGCCAAGAATTTCATTAAAATTTTTGAAAATAATTGAAATTCTGCCAAGAATTTTATTAAAATTTTTGAAAATAATTGAATTTTGGAGAAGAATTTAATTATATTTCGAATAAAAATTGAAATTTTGAAGAGAATTTAAAAAAAAAATTTTGAACATAATTGAATTTTTACGAAGAATTTTATTACTTTTTAAAATAATTGAATTTCTGTAATCATTTGTAATGTCTCTAAAATTCTCCAAATTATATCCTTCAATTTACGAACTTTTCGTCTTTTCTGAATCAAATTAAGGGGCCGTCCATATACCACGTGGACAGTTTAGGGGGGAGGGGGGGTTCGCCAAAAATCCACGATTTTCCACGAGGGGGGAGGGGGGGGGTCAATACAAATGTCCACGTGGACCCAAAAGTTTAATTTTATATCTTTTTTTTCTTTTTATTCAACTTTATTATTAGATTGTGATCAGACAATATTTGTAATCCGAAATTTATTTAACTGTCAAAAAAACGCCAAATTCTTTTTTAATCTATATTACAAAATCATTATCGTAAATGCACAAATATGAATATATGCAAATTTGACAATTAGGAATGCAAAGCAACCTCTACAAACTCTGACAAATTCTAAAAAAAAAATTTCTATTATTGTTTATGTGAAGGCTTAAAGCTATTGGATTTTAGAAAATTTAAGATTTGTTACCGAAGAGATTAAGTATTTCTACTAATATAATAATTGAAGATATATTGCTGCCAAAGTCCTCTCTATAATACTAAAAATGGTATTTACCTATTTAATAATATTTTAAGATAATTTAATCTTTATTGAATTTTAAAGAAGTTTGTTATAAAAAAATTTAAAGAATTTTTTAATTGTATTTCTTATTAATTATCATTTTATTATTCACTATTTTAAAATAAAAAACCCGATTGTCCACGTGGACAATCAGGGGGGGGGAGAGGGGTTCGTCAAAAATCCACGATTGTCCACGAGGGGAGGGGGGGGGTGAAAAAGTGTCTAAAAAGTGTCCACGTGGTATATGGACGACCCCATTATGGACTTTACGGATTTTTTTTTTAGAAAAAACGGATTTTTACGGACTTTAAGCAAAATTTACGAACCTAGTTCGAGCCCTGCAATCAACGAAAGAAAATTATACAAAAATAGAACATAAAAGAACATAAAAAACACATAAAACTATATTCGAATATAATAGTGCTAAATAAACGCAAATTGAAAATTCTTACGCAATTATCAGCACTTTAAATAAGAGTTTTCAGATGAGGAGCATTTGTCAACACTATTCATCTAGTGCATCTATTCTCTGGGTATTGTTTTTGAGCATAACACCCGCAGTATATGCCGTATGTGTATATATATATATGTGGTTGATTCGATCCACAATCCCGTAGTACGATTTTTCTATCAGTTTTTGCCTGTGAGTGTGTATGAATATACTCCTTTATAATATTGTACAAGCGCATGCAAGTATACACTTTTGCATTTTCGCACTATACATATACACATGCGTGCGAGATGTGCACGACTATTCAGATATTGTTGTTATTGTTGAGGGAACAATCGGCCATCAATAGACTGCTCCGGCACAATGTATCTATTCAGGTGCGGCCAGAGGTGCTCAATCGATCGGCAAAAGTCGCGAGACTTTTCAAAACTTCGCGCCCCGCCTGCGAAAACTACTATATTCGCCAAGCGAGAGTGAGATGATAAAGCCTTTTCAAACCCCTCCTAATTCAGTGGGGTGGAGTGATATTAATGTACTCTCTCTCACTCTCTCCCTTCAATGTGCGCGCTTTCAAAACGCCCGCACCTCTCAACTTAAAGAATACATTGAAAATGTTTCCTCACCAATATTTACACATCGCTACTTCGATTATTGTTAAAAAATTTTTTTTCTTTTCTATTTTCGGACCTAAAGAAGAAGGTGAATTACGTCTTCTCAGGGTGAAAAATTGGAAATATTTCTCTTTTTTTTAAATGAGATGAATATTTCTAAAAAGGTTTTAAAGGAATGTTTAGTAAAAATATTTTTACAATATTTTACTGTAATTTCCTTATAAAATGTTACCTTTTTTTAAATTTATAGTTAA